TATATAATGCTGTTCCTGCATGATGCATTGAGCCTAGATGTTCCTACCTAGACGATCTAGGTAGGTACCTAGGCTAACTTCACAATTCACATGATTCAGTTTTCAGACTCAAGGGTGGAAATTGGATTACTTACAGAATTAGGCTACCTATAGAATAGTCTAGAGTCTTGCAGTGAACTTTGATTGGGTAGCTATGCTCAAAAATATTTTTTTTTGTTGAAACAATAATGAAATCCATCTCTTTTAGAAATTTGAAGACAAAATCTAAAAAATTGCATGAATAAATTAGGACAAATAATGATATTTTTATGTTCATCTACAATGGGCCAGTCGGAACCTAGGTACTCCAACCAGTCCCCATCCAGAAACTGATGGTGAATAAAAAGTTGGACATTCAAGCAGTCTTTTGTTATTTCACTCATTTGCCAATTGCCATTAGCCTATTATCTTGTGAATATTCTCTAAAATAATAATATGCATTTAAAAATTACTTTTTAACAGGGTTGGCAATGATTAAATCATTTGATTTTTTTAATTTTGTCTATTTATTTGATTTTTTATATATTTAAATATATTGAGTGGTAGTCTTTAATTTAATTTGAGGTATTGTTATTCATGGTTTAGTATAAATGTACTATGAATGACAAATTGGTAGTATATAAACTTGTTGCCTTTAGGGCGTAACCTATTAGGTTCCAATAAATTGAATGTTTTTGGTACAGACAGAGGCATCAAGTGTTCCAACTTGCAATACATTGTACATAGCTAGCAGCTTAGCAAATTCTTGTAAGGCTCTAGGTAGTCTTTAACTATTTGACTATTTGTTATATATTGATTACAATATACAATTTAAATGTGTTAGCTAGCTTATACATGGTGGGGCAGAACTGATTGAGCAGTGGTGGGGCAGAACCGATTGAGCAGTTTTGAGGTGAAATAAAAGAGTAATTGAGGTACATAAAGAAGAAAGTTTATTTTCCTCGAGATTAGCATAACATACCATTTAAAATACTTATGTTTTAAAAACAATATCAGGAAGATGGTGTCTGTTAGCTGCATCACACTGTTGGAGTTGTTCTTGGAAGTTATGGCAAGGTATGGCCATAACATCTGCTGCAAGAATATGTGGTATTATTGCAGATTAACTACATCCAAAAAAAAGGGTGTTTTTTTTTAATTATATGTTTTTTGGGGTGTAGATTACGAATCTGAAATCCATTTTTGGCGGTCGGCATCGGAAAACCGATTTTTTGTGGAACAGTGCAGTCAGTCACTCAGTCACTACTAGTCGGTGTGTATAGAGGGTAGAGTGGTAGATTTATAGGACATAAAACTAGTAGATCTATTGATGTGACTCTTCAATGTTTAGAAGATCTGCATTACTAAAGTGTTTTTGTATATTGAAGCCAGTTAAATGGTCAATATTTAGCTTGTTACCTTGCTCCATACAAACTTTACAAAGCTAATGAATAGACTTATCAATTATAGTTTACCCAAAAATCCCAAAGTGGTAATCACCACTTTGGCCTGTTGGCCATTATTGAAGGCAATAAGTGCCCTATTTAGCCATGATGCCATCCATTATGATCCATATACTGTTATTGTTAGTAGGCTAATTGCTACATAAAAAATAACCTATCAAAAAGACAAAAAAGCTGAAAAATCAAATAAATAAAAAAAATCATTAAAAAATAAAAAATAATTGATTTTTATTTTTTTATTATTTTTTTTTTTGAAAAATAAAAAAAATCACCAACCCTGCTTTTTAAAGACAACACTTTTAAAGAATCCAGTGTCATGGATGTTACACATGCACAATGATTTTCTAATTTTATTTTTATATATATTAAAAAAAATTATTTTTCAAAATTTTAAGATATCAAAATTTTGTAAATTTTCAAAATTATTTTTTCTGTCAACTGATTCATGCATTGTCTCTGACTTTATGCAATTGTGCAAAATTTCAGATTGATTGGACAGGTCAAAGTGTGCCATATATCATGATATATGGATTATGAGATTTGTAGCAGACAAAAGTATTTTAAAATTTTTTTAATAATGAAATTTTTATTTATTTATAGAATTATTTATTCTGTCAATTGATTCATGTATTGTCTCCAACTTTACGCAAGTGTGCAAAATTTCAGATCGATTGGACAGGTAGAAGTGTGTCAAATTTGACAGTAAGATTTGTAGCTGACAAATTATTTTTTATTTTTTTTTATTTTTAAAATAATTTATTCTGTCAATTGATTCATGCATTGTCTCCAACTTTATGCAAGTGTGCCAATTTCAGATTGATTGGACAGGTAGAAGTGTGTTGATATCGATTATGAGATTTGTAGCAGACAGACAAACAACAAGAACTTGAGAAGTGAAGTCAAAGAGAAGTGTTGTAAAAATTGGTGTAATCTTAACTACATGCATAAGCGTAAAAAAAATTAATGAGAAATATTTCTGTAACATCTAACCTTTGAAATCTTCTGGTTAGAAAATATTTGTAGTAATGGCATTTTAACCAATGAATTTTGTCAAATTTATTTGCAGCATATAGAGTGCATCTGTGTCATAATCCAGGCTGTAAGTAAGGCCTTTTAGCTCAATATATTGGTATCTTTCCAAGCTCTCTATCAGCCATCCAGACCTTCAATTGACATCCATAACCGATCATTAACTGTGGATTGCTTGATCATGGTGGAATTGTAGGAAACAGGTCTCATAGTGGGGCACAATAGTCATTATAATATTATTTCAGGCATCATCTGGTTGTTGAACATCCACATGCCAGTTGTTAGTAGGTAGGTTTAGCTAGTCGTTAGTTGGTAGCGCTGTAGCAGTAGGTCTCTTTAGCCAATTGGTAACTTAACAAATAACAATGAAAATACTAGTCATTAATAAGGACATAACCTTTAGTCTATGCACATAGTATTGTTTATATGCAACTATCTTCATGGATAACACATTAAGGGTTTAATTTTTCAAACCAGTCGTGCCTTCTTTATCCTGAAATAATTGCCCTTCCTGATCACTAACATTGTGCGCAATCGAAGGCAAATCTTTCTCTAAAATATGGAGGGTACACCTTTCTCAGAACGGCTCACTCATTTTCACACAAGTGAGCCATTGAATTTCACAATATAAATTCAGACTTCAAATTATCAAATGAAACTTATTAAACTGGTTCAAAACATCAGATTACATTGATCTATATCATATATATAAATCTGTTCTGGGTTGGAATGTTGGACTCCAGATGTGGATGCTACAGCTTCACTCACAACTGGAGGCACAGAATCCAAATGGAGGGACAATTTGTGTCCCTTCATTTGGATTCATCCCCTCATTTGGATTCTGTCAGAATCCAAATGAAGGGAAGCCAGTTGTTCACCTGTAAAAAGAATATTTTTAAAGAATTGCTCCCCAAAAGTAGACCTTCAAACCAACTGCTAGCTATATAAAACAAAATCAACTGCTGATAATTTACCAGATAACCCTTTGTAATAATCATATCTAATCAAAATTTCCTCTATATTCAACACACCAGACACATGTCTGCTTAGGAAATGATTTAGCCATAGATTAGGCATCTCTCAGCATGAGCCATTGGGTGAGTCTGGATAAGGACCACTAGAAACTTACACCTTTTCAATTGCTATGATAATTCCCTTTCAGAATCTGCTCAAGAGATGCAAATTAAAACATCTGGGTACTACAAACTATAAGGACTCCATGTAGAGACTAACAGCACTACGCTATCCAACAGGAGTTACCAGACCAACACAAACCCTAACATATTTCATCACGCAAATCTATTGAATACAAATATCTGCTTAAATCATATTCAATACAAAACATATGGCATATGATAAAATTCAGCACACACATCCAAGTTTAAAAAAATATAACTCAGTAGGTACTCGCTGCAGTGAGTGACAGAGTGCATTTTCTTGTCGACAAAAACGTGAAGTCACGGACGGACAGACGGACTGACATGGCAAGCACAATAGTGCATTTTCTCCATAAATGAAAAAATGTGCTAAAAATAGTCTACCCATGGCCTGCCATAGGCCAAACAGATTGTATTTTGCAACAATAAAATCTTTTTTTCATTGTAAATACTAACTAAAATTCTCCATGTATAATTGAATGGCAAAGTAGATATATCATGTAGTAGTGGCAAAGTAGATATATCTCCATATAATGGCAAAGTAGAAGCATTTAGTGCTATTTGATTTCTCCTAATTTCAAACTTTTATCATAAGTAACCTACATTCACCTCATCATTTGTTAATAATTGAGTTTACCAAATGTTTACAATTTCTCTAAGAAATTTCTGCACAAAAATTGTTAGAAGGCTATTCATTGCAGAATGAATGTATTTAGTAATTTAGAAAGTGAATAATTGATTAAAAAAAATTGAAAAACTAGGCCTTTTGAAACTTGGCCCTAGGATCAACTGAGTTACACGAGATTACAGATAGAAAAGAAGTCCTACGCAGGAGCACCGTCACCGCGGTCTCGTTTAGGCTTTGGATGAGGATAAGACCTGCTGTTATGAAGCAGTCATAAGTCATAACTCCTCACTCTAAATATTGAACTCATATCCAACTAACACGATTATCAAAACTTTGTTGCGTCTTCAAACTTACCCAAGCAAGAGGTCACGTTTTTATAACTTTCAGTGTTTATGTTTGGTCCTAAACAAGGTGCCTATTTAATGATACTTTCTAACTCTTGTACATTTGTGGTAATAGAATCCTCAATATTACGGTATCTAATTTGAAAAATATGTATGGTAGGTTGAGGTACTCGGTCATAATATTCTGGTAATAATTGTGGAAACAGGTTCAGTAACTTGCTTTCATTTGTTTCAGGTACAACAGTGAAGACGACGGAAGTGACCGAATTAAGTTTGAGTTGCCAGGTAATTTATTCAATAATACCAATTTTGATTCGTTCGTCTTCTTGACACTCTTGAGAAGTAGTCTCGTGTATCAATGATGATGTAGGTACCTTAAGTATTAGTGTTAAGTCATTGATGTGTGAAATAGTTTTGTTTTAACCTTCACTGGTTTTTGTAAAAATTTCTCACTTGCTGCATGATATGTTGTTTTTTACAACACTTCTCTTTAACTTGAATAACTTCACTTCCTGTTTGTCTGTCTGTCTGCTACAAATCTTATAATCGATTTTAACACACTTCTACTTTTCGATCTGAACTCCAATCGATCTGAAATTTTGCACACTTGCGTAAAGTTGGAGACAATGCATGAATCACTTGACAAAATAAATAATTTTAAAATTAAAAAAAAGTTTTTTTTCAATATTAAAAAAAGTGAAAAAATAATTTTGTCTGCTACAAATCTTATAATCGAAATTTAACACACTTCTACCTGTCCAATCGATCTGAAATTTTGCAGACTTGCGTAAAGTTGGAGACAATGCATGAATCAATTGACATAATAAATAATTTTGAAACTTTAATTTCTTTTATGTATTAAAAATAATAAAAAAATTAATTTTCTTAATATTCGAAATTGAAATTAGAAATTCATTCTACATGATTGAGGAGACTCGTGCCACAGGTTTCAGGAGACCCGTGCCAGGAGCAACGACAAGGCGCGCTGTACACTCCTGCCCATGAACATGAATGAGGAGGACATGCAGTGCGGGGTTATTAGGTTAGATTTTTGACTCATTCCAATGCGTTTGTCTTTACATTTGTCTTAAAAATTATACTCAAACTTTATGAATAACTATCATCATGAATATAAACTGACGTTTTGAGATGCATTTTCGGTAGAAGTGAATTTTTCTTCTAGTATATGTTTACTATATATATTCACTGTGCCAGAACTTGTTCAGTAATATTATCGGCAGCATCACCATTCACGTGTTCTTAATATTTCAGGGAACGTTCGAAGGTCGGCTCGAGCTTGGCCGTTGTAGAGCCGATGTCCATTGATCCGGACATTACCTTCAGTAATGTTGGTGGCTTGAACGATGACTTGCGCGTGTTACGAGAGGTGGTTTTTCTGACTCTGCACCACCCTGAAATTTTCGAGAAATTTAGAAAAACGGCCCCAAGCGGTGTTCTCTTCTATGGCCCTCCAGGTGATGTAGGCAGCTATATTTTTGATCCATCTCATGAAATTGTATTATTACAACTAAAAATTTAGAAGAAGTTTAACCACAGGGTGGCCCAGTGGTTAAACTTCTTAAAAAGTACCAAGATTGTTAAAAAGTTGAAATTCAGAGTACCAAGATTGGAGCAGAGAGGCGCGGGTTCGATCCCAGCTCTGCGCGCTAGTTTCTGGTCAGAATCGCCAAGGAGGCCGGGCGGTTAAGCAGAATTGGAGCAGTGAGTTGCGAGTTCGAGACCGCAACAAGCTGTGAATGATCTGTGATGTTATTAATCGGCGACAGGCCTACGGCCTAATTAACGCTGAAACCGCTATTATTATTGTTATTATTATTATTATTATTATAAGTTTTTCCACTAAGCTGTAAAGTGAAGCTCATCGACTATACAATAAAATTTATTAGAAACCCTTCGTATTTCGCTTCTTTTTTGATCTCAGCCCTTAGGTGGTCTTCCATAGGATTTCATTATTTGGTTAAGCTAGTATGCTAGGCTCATCTCGGTTTGAATTGAATTGCTTAATACTTATTAATTGCTATGCTAATGTTTCAGGGACTGGAAAAACATTGATGGCCCAAGCTCTCGCAAACGAATGCAGTCTTGGAGAGAGAAAAGTTACTTTCTTTATGCCAAAAGGGTGGGTGGGCGAGTCCGAGAGACAGCTTCGACTTCTCTTTGATCAGGTTGGTTCTGATTTAGCTGCAAAATATCCCTTGCTTGATGAAACACCAGTTTCAGTATGAATTTTTTTTCTGGCTGGTAACGGAGATATGTCACAAAATTAGAAAGACTTGGAGAACATTGGATCAATTATGAAAAATTTTACGATTAAATTTTTCAAACGATATGCATGAATTGTGTACAATTTTTGTGAGTAAGCTATGCTATAGCTATAAGCTTTTATAGCTATAGCTTATAGAAAAGCTATAAGCTCTTCCACGTGAACAAATTTTCAAGAATAATTTTGAAATTTTCAGAATTTATAACTTCTTGTACTGTGTTTATACAGCGTTCAATTTGTTACCAGGCGTACCAGCTGCGTCCTTCGTTGATTTTTTTCGACGATATAGACGGTCTCGCCCCCGTAACATCGTCTCGACAAGACCAGATACACTCGAGCATCGTGTATACGTTGCCGTTGCTACGGTTGCTGGTCTGGATGAATGGCCTGGAGATAATGGTTATCGGCGCCACGAACAGGATCGAGGCTATCAACCCAGCACTCAGGGGGTCTGGGATGTTTGATTGTGAACTCTACTTCCCTCTGCCGTCTCTCCAGGTAAGTCTGAGAAATTGTGGTACATAAAGTCTAATATTACGTGTAATGTAAAAATTTAGTATTGTGTGTGGTTTGTCAAAAGAAGGGCTTAAATGTATAACATAATTCATTCTTTTAGGGCGGTTAGACTTGCAAAAAAGTTTAATTGGGGGCAGTTTTTTTTACTGGATTCAAATAAAGGCTAAGTTGCATTTATGGGTTGATGTTCAAACTAGAAAAGCACTAATTTGTTGTATATACGTTCACCAGTTTTTGAAAGTTCTCGAATTAGGTAGTGCTCGAATCAAGAGATATTTCTGTATTTTTGGAAGGAAATGCAGGAGTACATTATTTTGTTGAACAAAAGTACTTGCATGTTTTTATGTATTTCACCTATGTTAAGTGGGCTCGATAACGAAATATTTTCACTTTGGTGGCTTTATTAGCGTTTGAATGTTGAAAATATTTTGCAAATATTTTTCATTTTTATTAAATTTGTGTTTCTAATCATATTGTAAATCATTTGCAGGCTCTTAAGCACATGTTATCCCTGCAAACGAGCCTGTGGCAACCTCCACCAACCGATTACCTGCTGAAGAACCTGGCAGATCAGACATCGGGGTACTGCAGTGCTGACCTCAAGAGTATGTGCTGCAAGGCCGTCCTTGCCAGTCTACGCAAACAATACCCGCAAGTCTACGAGTCCACCGTCAAACTTCAGCTCTATGTCAACTCTTTCGTCGTAAGTGGCGTTTTCGAAACTGAAATGTTTGCCACTTCATTTTTAGAAATTATATTCTAAACTATTTTTATGCTGAACTGCTTTACCTTGATGCCAAGTATAATTGAATTGATTAATACAGCATTCCATAGCTTAAAAAAACGAAACATAGTGTCTTGGAAGTTTTGTACACCATCTATTTGGCCGATATGATAATCAACATAATTTTTTGTATGTGCCTCTATTCCCATGTGACAGTGTTAAGGATATCATTTAAAAATATTAACGTATAGTGATTTTTAAGTGAGACAGTTCGAAATATTTCTTGACAGTTTATTTCGTTATTAATGTTTAATCCCTCAACTCCCATATCGTGATTTTCATTTTCTTCTCTAGTATCTGTATTGAAAAACTTTATTCTGTATCAACCAGTAATTTTGTACCAAATTGGATGCTTCAGGGGCGATTCCATCACTCCCGCAGCGTTCTGGGCCGCATCGCGAGGATCGCGATGCGGCCCGCCCCCGCCGCCCAGAGATCGCGAGGCAGCATCGGGGAACCACTTCAGCCTGAAGTTCGTCCTTTGTTACAAGCCACGTTGCAAAAAATATTGCTCCACTTGGAACAGGTACGTCAGTGGATTTTTCGTAACAGTATAATTAAATTGAATTATAATTACTTGTTTTTCTTTTATTTCTTCTGATAATTAGGGATATTGCCAACGATATCGCGAAATATGAAACTGACTGGCCCTTATGATTCAAGGAGAAAATTTTTTTAGTGATATTTTGTTCTTTATTGTGATCATTATAATATATCGTAATTATTATATCATTCACTTACACATTTCAAAACCTCTAAGCCAAATTGGAAGTTTTTTTACTCTTAAACGGCATGACTCTTGAGTTTTTCCTCGCAGAGTTTCCCACGTGGCCCGACTGCAAACTACAGCGATGATCGTCGCGTGCTCTACAGGCCGCGGCTGTTGCTGGTAGGCAACGGTGATCTCGGGCAGAGCAGTGACTTGGGTCCGGCTATCATACACGCCATGGATAGCGTGCCTGCACACAAGCTCAACTTTACATTGCTCTATGAATATAACTCCTCTCGAACTCCTAAGAAGGCTGTCGTGGAGGTAAGGTTTATTGATCTCACTTAGTGAGCTTGTTGTCTAGCCGCATGCATATTTATTTGGAATTGATTATGTATTGTTATCAGTTTATACAAATGGAATTGAAGTGTTCACTCTATCATTTTCGATAAAAAGGAATACTCAGATGCAATTCCTTGAATCTTGTAATTTTAATCGATATTCCACTTGATGTGTTCACTCCATCTTAGTTAGGATCTAAACTCGTTTATATTATGTATCTCATGAAGGTTTTTGGTCAACAGATATTCCACGAAGCGAGCTCGCGTCATCCGTCAATAATCTTTATGCCTCATTTTGATGACTGGGTTAAGTCAACAGACGAGTCCGTCCGGGCGATCTTCTTTTCACTTATGGAAGACTTGAAACCCGGCACTCCGGTGCTG